CCCCCCCAACGCGCGCGCGCGCACACACACCAGAAACAACCTTTAAAATAGGGTCATTATATAGAAACCACATTTGATTGTCAATTTAGACGTAATGCACCTTTGAACAATTTTTTGTTGCAATCAACCACCTGGACTCCTTTTTAAGTCGCGTTTTTCGGTTTTATTGTAATGATTAGTTGTAAAATACCAAGTATATTAGAGATATGATCATAAATTGACAGTCAAAGCTGGTTTCTATAGAATGACCCTTTTTTAAGGTGACTTCTATGGGGGAAACCCAAATAACAATGAACACAATAAATTTCTTATTCCATTAAAATAACATATAATTTCTGCATAGCAACACTTTCATAACAGAACTACTGCTCATAATTACCAAGGAAAACTTACCTTATATTCCATTCATTATCAATGTGAAGTGGGCTTTCATCATTTACAGATGCTTCAGCTTCAATTTTCGCTTTAGCTAAGGCATCTCTAACTGGTTTTTCTTGGGCATATTCTTTCTGCATAACATCAAGGTTTCAGAGTACTCAATACAAGATATAAAAAGGTTCAAATATGAAAAGTTCCATTCATGCAGCAAAAAATATTATTCCTGTTACCTGTCGTTCAAGACAAGCTGAATTGGAACATTGGGGGTTCGGTCTCATCTCCATTGTTTGAAAGTAGTTTTTTAGCGAATTGTATCCCTGTATATGAACAATTTTTTAATGACCAGGTGAAAAATGAAAATACTCTGCCCAATCACCCCGCTAAATTTCCGAAAGATGGTCTAGTTGTTAAGAGCCATTTTTCCTTAGAAAGGTTCGGAGACATACATGAGACAAGCTATAAAGAGAATACGAAACTCATAGATCAACAAAAGAAACTCTTTATGAAGGGAGAAAACATCCTCACACTGGAGGAACTACGCACATAGATGATGATAAGCCACAGCATGGATTAAAGTAATCTGCATGTATCATGAACTTGAATCGTTGTGAAATTAGACTCTGCTGCTGCAGTATGTTAACTTAATAACCCTCACCCATTGGACCATTGCAGATGGGGAGATTCTAATCCACAATCTTCCACAAGGGAAGAAAGTGATAATAAGCCCCTCATGGATTATGTTAAAGCAATCCGTATGCATAATGAACTTGGATCATCGTGAATCAGACTGTGTTGAACTCTGCATATTAATTTAATAACCCCTCATTCATTGCACATAGGGTGATAATAATCCATAATCTTCCACAAGGGAAGAAAGTGATGATGACATATAAGCCTCACTCAACTGGCCGTCAGGCAGTATTGAAATATACACATTGTATAATTTGAAAAATGGCATATACGTTATGAGTGAATAATAACACATGTTAGTCTCACCGATTAACAGTAGCTGAAATAGTAGAAATATTCATAAAGTATTAAATTTTTTTAGAAGATACAGAAATTGGAACAGTTTTAAGAGGGAATTACCAAATAAGAGATGGTAGAAATATCCATAGAGTATTAAAAAAATTTAATAGATAACAGAAATTGGTTTAAAGGGAATTACCAGATAAGGAGAAACATGTCCAAACTTCAACAAATACTTAAGTGTGTTCTGAACTAGGAGACCAGCAACAACACCCTGGAAGATTTCATTTGCTTAGTTAATATTACTGGATGGAAAACAAACCAAACATATACCAAGCAGCTGATTCACATGACATCACTGAATAAAATACAGGACAAATAAAACACCCATATAACATGATATGAATAAGTCAATTTTCAATGCTTGATATTTTATGACAAGAAATGTTTGCTGCAAGATATCAGAGATGTTCAATCTAGTCTGATTAAAAAAAGATCAACTTCTAACGTAGCAGGCAACTAGAATTTAAAATAGAGTTCAAATGGATAAAAGATCAGTTTGTACAGAAGAAAGGTGGAATTTACTACAACAGATACTATAGATCAGTAAGCAACTTTTTATGTGGTTTTCAAATGAATAAAAATAATCAAATGTGAATCTAATTATTACAAAAATTGTTGTATGATTCCACCAAAAAAAAAGAGAAAAAGGGGGAAAAGAAGGAAAACACTATCCTAGATATACTCTAAAGTGCAAATGTCATATAGGAAATAAGAGGATAAATGCACTTTGAATAGAAAGGTACCCATTTGTTAATCTTGACATGAGAGGAGAAATGCAATTTTGAGCAGAAAGATATCCATTTGTTAATCCTGATGCGCTGATTTATATTATACTTTCCTTAGAATCATTAAAAGGGGCGCTAAATTGGAAAAATAGCATGTTTGTTAACAGAAGGTTCCTTGGGACCTGACTCAAAAGCCACAGTAGTAAGCAGCTTAAATAAAAGCTACAGAGCAAGAAAGATACTTAATATTTATGGAAAGAAATTTATCAAGTTTATATGTTAAAGAATATGCTAAACCACTAAAAAGGTTAAATAACCATTATAATGGGCATGTCTAAGTAGCATTAAAGAGAGTATAAGAGCATATTCTGCCACAGTTAAAGATAACAAAGTGCAACTAAAGTAAGTCGGTACTGCAAAGTAATGATTGTCAAACAAAAACAACACTCAGCACACCCACTCTGGAAAAAAGCAGCTCATGATAAAATGAAGCAACAAGTTCCTCACCATTCTAGTGGGTAAAGATGCAGCGCAAACCCCTTCACGCCTTAGCGTACGTTCATCTACTCCAGACGCCACGACCTATGACATGAAGGAGGAATTATGAGTACCAACAAATGCCAATACAAGCTATTCTGATTTAAGATGTACAGTTTTGCTGCAAAGGTGCTTCTAGAAATAATAGCTGTCTACAGTAACTTTTGGCCAATTTGCAATTTACAGCAACGTGATGGTTACACGGTCTAATCTAGTGAATATGTCAGACTTAAAGCATGAACAGATATATGTAACATAAAGACAAACTCAGTGACAACTTGGAAAAAATAACCATGTCATCCCAACTGAAACTTTATTCCCCTACCATGTCCAACCATCAAGTAGCAACCCCAACATCATCCCCCATAAATGATAGAACTTGCTATACAAATTATAGACACCTTTGATAGATCAAATATTGTTCAAGGAAAAGGGAAGGATCTCACAACTTGTTCCACTGATCTTCCTTAAATTTTTTATTCAGGTTGAATCAATAATGTACCAGAGTGATCCCTGTAGCCCTATGCTATCCGCATAGCTCCTAAAGCTTTCATTGCCTGCTTGGCTCAGTATAAAATAAGTGATGGCAGAGATTGCAGCATAAAGAAATTAATGTGAAAACATAAGGATTCTCCTAAGTAGACAGACAATATTGAATGGTAGGAATCAGCTAGCGCTATTTGCTGCCGTAAAGATTGATTCAAAACCACCAAGTTATGCAAGTAAACAACACATAGCATAACATCATTAACCTGCCTACCCTGCTTCCTCTCTCGCTCAACACCCCCCCACCCACACCCAGCCCACCCAAACCCAACCAATCCAGAAAAAGAAAAGGAATTGGTAATAGACATGCTTCCAGTTAACGATGGACTCATATGGAATAAAACAAATCTTAAGGGGCAAGATGGTGACACCCTCACTCTACCAGATGTGCACAAAGAAACTAAACATGATAAAAGTACAATAGTATATGTCAAACTAAGAAGCATTAGAATGGATGGTAAAAGAAATCTTGTACAGAAATTATTGCAACACGCGACAATACCACTATGAGGTAGCCTTATAAAAATATACCAAGGGAGGGGCACCGGGAAAACAAGCTGTTTCCCTAGGAATAAGCAATTGTATATGGCCAGAAACAGCATCTTCAGATACACCTGTCACAAAAACAATTTTTTCAAGTGAATGCTTTCCTTCTGCTCAATTCAGCAACACTTTGAATATAGTACAGTCATTAATATTTTCCCCGTGCAATTCACAGGACTTTGTATTACGACATCGTTGTAACAATTATATTCTAATATTATAATTTTAGTAGTTGTATATTATTTTCACTCTAAAAATTATACTATAATTAGAAGAGAGACTGAAAAAAGAAAAGAGAAATCATAAAGAAGTTGTAAATGGATGATTAATATCATGAAAACATAGGGGGAAAACAACAACAAATATTTGATAAAAGAGGATGAAAATTAACACACCGATTGATTCCATGCTCTATACCTCCATAGTTATCAAATACCCAATGGCTGAATTTTGGAGAAAGCAAATCCAAATAAAGGCATAGATAGAAAATCAAATAATAGTTTGAAGTAATTCTCTCCTTAACTCTATTTTCTTTTTGGAAAGTAGAGTTCTGTATCTCCTTGTAGAACCATAGAAGCAACAAAGAATTAAGAGAAATTTCCTAAATACCCAAGAGAAGAATTAGAGAAGCGTTTATGAGAGGAGTTGAGATAGAAGAATGGGGGTTTAATTTCCATCACAAAAGTTAGTTAATATATACTTAATCTAAATATAACCTGCATTGGAAGAAGGATAGAGAAGTAGAGAAGTTGAAAGGTTGGTTTAAAGAACATTTCTAAAGAAAATAATAATAATAATAAAATGCCATAATAACCACGAGGTGCTAAGTGGCAACCAAGGGTTTTACTTTAGTATATAGAAAAGATTAACTAAAATTTTCACCTTGTGATCCATAAGCATCTCCGTTTTAATAGGAAAGGCTTTTAGATAAGGATGATGATAACAAACATCTACGTGAACTTGCTTGATATGTACTCATAAAGTTCATTTTTAACTCCAAACCAAAACATTAAATACAACAAGGTCATCCTGTACTATTGTCAGAGCAAAGTTGTTACCCAAATGAAAATTGGTTTTGCACAGCTGGACGTGACATGTGTGCTCCATCATTATGACTAATAACAATATAAAGAACATATATACAATTTTAGGGTCAATCGCATGAATCATTTTTCTGCTATATGTGTAAAGGGCTATACCATTATCACTGTTTTAAAAAACCTCCGCCTAGTCCGCTTAGGCGTACGCCTAGGCCTAGGCGGTACCTAGGCCGTCTAACTAGCGCCTAGCGCCTAGGCGGTATTTAGGCTGCCCACATAGATATTACGAGCGTTTAGGTGAGCATTGTCTGCTTACATGGATTGCACCCTGTAGGCCTTGATTATGATTTTATGTGTCGTAGCTTACACGTCCTCCAAACTCTATTAACCTCCAAATATGAACACCTCCACTACGTCCTCCGACCTTCAGCAAAACCTCATCGATCACCACTTAAATGAAGAAAGAAAAAAAACACCCAGAAACCGCTTAGGCGCCCGCCTAGACGACTAAGCGTTGGGCGCCAAGTCCAACGCCTAGAAGCGCCCAGCGTTTAATGTAACATTGACCATTATATATAACGAACTACCTTAGGGATATGTTCAAAGCATAGCAGATTATCTCAGTATGATTGCTAAGGTCTTTAGGCTTCCTAGTGTCTTTAAGAATTTTTAATGCTTTACTTTTTTTATTAGTCTTTCGGTGCATGTGATGTGTGCATGACAAAGGAAGGTAAGGGTGCGAAAATAGTCGAACATCGATACCTGAGGGTACTAATGAGATGGACGAATAGGAAAATAGGATAAAAAGTTGATCACTCTAAGAATATAGAAATTATCCATAGAAATAACAAAGGATAATAAGGAGTTAGCCTAATGCGGTAGAGATATAGATTCACCATTCTAAAAACATATGGCAGTCGCCACTCCAAGGATCTCACTTTAGAAAAACAGATAAATATTCGCACTCGATGGAATCCACCAGAGAAATCTAAAGCAAAGACAAAGCACAATGTTTAATTATAAACAAACTCAAATACTTGTCGTTTCTAGTAGATTAATACAAGGTTTTAAATATCGGATGTCGGGTTCATGTCGGACAGCTGAAATCCATGTCGGATAGTGGAAATCGGGGATATATCGGGGGATATGGACTAAATATCGGATCGTCATATCGGGTGGGCGCATATGTGCAATATTATGTCCTAAATGTAATATAAGCATTCTTAAATTCAATATAAGCATACTTTATAAACTTTATAGACTAGACATATATTAAACAAGATTAGAGCTAAAATGTAAAGAGCTAAAATGTAAAGATATAAAAAATATATTTATGCAAGCATTCTCATCATATTAATTAAACAAGGATTATTACCAGAGTTGAATCTTTCATATTCCGAGGATTACTAAAAAAATCAAGTTAGAGCTAATTTTACTTTTAATCCAAAAGAATTATTTAATTACTTTTTGTCCACAATTTGCTCCAAGATACAAAAAGAAACTTATGATGATAATTTAGGAAAAGAAAGAAGAGTAAAAAAGAAAAAAAAGGGAAAGTTAAAAACCACGAAGAGTCGAAATCAGAGTCTTATCGGGTTCGAAACAGAGAAAGAGAGAGAGAAAAAGAGAGAGAAAAAGAGAGAGAGAGAGAGGTCAGACTTCAGAGAGGCCACGAAGAGTCAGAATCAGACGAGAAGGCGGAGAGGTCAGAGAGGTCAGAGAGAGAGAGGTCAGAGAGGCTTACCAAAGGAGCTTCGATGGCGGCGGCACGGGGAAATCCACATACGAGAACTCCGATGGCGCAGAAGAAAGAGGAGCTTCGGATTTCTGACCACGAAGACCTAGGGTTTTTGTTGTTGTTGAGACCACGACGGCAAAACGACGAGAGGAGGCCGCTGGTTCCCAGTCGCGAGCGAGAACTAGGGTTTTTCTCCTTTCTTCTTTTGATCGAGTGTTTTTCTCCTTCTTTTTCTTCTTTTTCTTTTGATCGGGTGTATATCAGTCGTTGAGGTGTCTATCGGGTTCGAAAAGAGGGCAAGTCATCGACCCAATTAACCCAAACCAAAGCCAATAAGCTGAACCGATTTTAATAAATTTTGGCCGATTTTTCAAATAGGAAATAGCGGCCGATATCTCCGATTTTTCGCCGACATGACCGATATATCGCCCAAAAACGATATGCGACTTGTATTTCCCCGATTTGTGTCGCTCGACACCTCGATCCGCTATATCGGCCGACATGTCCGACATGTCGGCCGATATTTAAAACACTGGATTAATAGGATATATAGGCTTGAAATATACCTTCAAGTATGAAAATTTAAGAAATCTTGGACACGTTCAAATGACACTGAAATAATAAGAGACACATTTGACTAATTAAATATCCTAGCAAACTTAAAAGGCTTCATGTAGTCCAATCTAAACATGTTTCAGTATTTCCAAACATGCTTCATTATTTCCAAGATAACTTTGAGCATAGAGATCCAAATCATGCAAAATTGGTCACTTGAGTAGCTATTCAAAACTTCAAACGGAGAGTAATTAGGAATTCTCCAGCTAAAGTTATGACCAAAACAATCAAGGTCATACATATACTCTAGATAATCCAAAATTAAAAGTTGGTCTCCTTTTGCTCCACATCATTCTCTTACGGTTAAAAAAAACTCATCCTTGAGTCATCACTAGCATCAATGATGAATGTAGCTTATACAGTGTGGGGGCACGTGCGTTCACACGTGTCAATTTTTGTAGAAATTAGCTATATTATGTAGGTGCTCCCATAAAATATTTATGTTGTGTCCCAAATGGAGATCGATTATGACGGAGTATTGTTAAAACTTAGTACTTTTTCATTAATTTTTTTAAAGATGAAAATGGTCATGTACTAATATGAAAATGATAATGAAAAAATACTGTGTCCAGATATTTGTGATTATTGTATAAATAAATTTTCAATAGGTGGACTTTATATTATATAATTCAATAATTTATATGTTTAATCCTAAATGTGGCCCCATACCCATAGGAATTTTTTTGGATCCATCCCTAATTAGCATTGTAGGGAGGAAGGAAAGAAACGTTGAAGGTTGTTGATAGGGGAGAGCAAACGATCGGTTCAGTCGGGTTCGATCATTTTCTCTCAAACCGAACCCATCCCGAACTATGTATGGAATCGAATCGAACCGAACTGAGTTATTTCGGTTTGGTTTGGCTAGTTAACTCGGTTGTTATAGGACAAAGCAACAAAGTAAAAGGATTATTTGATGATGGCTACAAACAAAAGCAAGGATTTGGCCATGGCGAAATGCAAAAAGAGAGAGAAGATTGAAGATGAACAATTAGTGTCGTGTTATTTGGAGAAAAGTAATGTAGCTTCCTTAATTAGCCTTTTTGGGTATTTGGTAGAAACTAGAAAGGAAAGAGAGCACATTCCCACTTTTTCTCTAAATATTTATGTTAGGCAACTAGGATTAACTTGGGAATTACACCACTCACGTGAGCGCATCGCATGAGTGCGCCACAAAGAAAGGATAGTAGCTTAGGTGCATTTTAAATAGGTCTTCAAATTTATGACCGCTCTTTCTCTAATATTTATGCAAGACAACTAGCAATAACTTGGACATCGCAACTGTTAGACGGTGCATTTCGTGGGGCCTGCACAAGAAAAGGTTATTAACTGGGTGCATATGCTAAATAAGAGTTCGGTTAGTTCGAATTATAAAATGTTCAAGAAAGCTCACATCGACCCAAACAGAAAGCATGGTTTTAAATATCGGCCGATAATCTGATATTATCACCGAGTTATCAGATTTTGGAGCTTTCCGCTAGGATAAGTAGGATTTTTAATCGGTTATCATTTTTATGGGTTTATCGGCGAGTTATTGGCAATAAAGGCACTATTCGGCCGATAAGGGAGGCTGAAAATATCGGCTTTATCGGCGTTAGTTTTGAGTTGAATTGTTGGGTAATGGGTTGTTACTTAGTGAGTTCTTAAACCCGATCCCACCCGCTTTTGACAATAAAATGAA